GTATAAACATAGACATTTATCTTCATAACTGGAAATAAACTAAACAAGATTTTATAGATGTTTTTTGCGCTAAATTTTTAGCACCATTTTAACTTTTATATCCTAAGGAGGAAGTCATAAAGCCTGCCAATTAAGTCTAATAACCCAGGCTTAATTTGATATTCAGACGTGTCCGTTTGAGAGGCGTTAATTTTTGACAATGGGGCTTTCTCCCACACTTAAATGAGTATGCCTCATGATGCATTGAATTTTACTCAGCCTTGCCCCTCAAAATGTTTTCTCATCTCGGCTAGCCCCACCAACGGGATTCGAAGCAGGATCGTACATGTAAAATTGCGACTTGACACCACGCCGATAGATATTCATGGGAGCCAACGTATCACATTGCAAGCCAGACCTTTCCCAATAGTGGGAATGTTTATGCGGAAGACAACTATTTGACATTTAATTTGACAGCATTATTTATTTTTTTTATGAATAGCCTTTGAAACTGTCAGTAATTTTTTTACAAGAACTTAGTAATTTTATATTATTTAGCCTTGCCACCCAAGCAATTTTCTGATCTTTGCTGAGCTCATTTCCATTTCGAGTGAAAGTGTATGAGATGGAGATTCGAATGTCGACCCCATCAAAATAGGATGTCGGATTCCTCTTGACTTTACTGGAATATTCTTGGGGAACCTATTCCCGAAAAATTTCCTCTGATTCCAATGAAAACACGTCAGGCTTTCGTCCTTGTTGAGCTTACTTCCATTTAGAGTAGAAGTGTTGGATGAAGAGATTCGAAGGTCGGTTCCACCGGAAGGCGACGGCGGATTCCTCTTGACCAGCTGTCGATTGGCTTTATTAGAATATTCATGCTGACGCTGTTTGCGAGGCAATTTCCTTCGATTCCGGTGAAACAGTGCTAAGCTTTCGTCCGTCATATGACGGACATCATCAGAGCGAGTTAACATCGTCACAACAAAATTCAAGCTAACGAGTCAAGGAAACTCACCGGCAAATCCCTAAAAGGTGGTATATATACTCTATATCTGGCCTCTTTGATCAGGTATAAAGTGATGTGGTTAGTTACGGTTTAGAAGAATTCCTTAGTGATATACTGCGACATGACTTTTCATTTCGAAGTAAAAGTTAGTTGGAAGGAATTCGCGACGTGGTCTCACTGGGAACCAAATGAGGATTTCCGCGTAGGGAAGACTGTTGGCTCACCGTCCTGTGGCTCTGATGCAACTGTGCTAAGCTTTCGCTTGTACTGTGACAGACCTCATCAGAGCAAGATTCTATACTGAACTGGAGCAAAAATATACTAACCCAAGAGAAAAGGTGGCTGGCTACAACCCCAGTCGCTTTTTTATACACTAAACTTCGCGATCTTAATGAGGCATCCTATGATTTGGTTGACCACTTCAACCTTACTCTACATGCTTACAGATGGATGAAGTTACTTCACGAGCCAGAATTTGGTTCGGTGGCAGCTCTTTTCTTGCACAAATTAAGAGGTGTATGATTTTCTAGTGTTGAATCATGTTTGTGTGTATGAAATGTTCATGCCAATGAAAGTGTGAGAGTCCTAGCTAGATTTGCGGCTAATTCAGCCTCCTCTTGTTCACTGGCACTTCCTGCATTGTTTGAAGTGGGAAGTCAAATCATGGGATGCCTCATTAAGATCGCGAAGTAAGGCGTATAATAAGATCGACTAAGGTTGCAGCCGGCCACCTCTTCTCTTGGTTTAGTATATTTTTGCTCTATTTTGTGAAATGTGAATTCCTGCTCCGATGATGTTTGTCAAAGTAGAGAAAAAAGCTTAGCACAGGCTCATCGGGGCCGCAGAAAAGTGGGCCTAAAACTTCTTCACTTAATACAACTGTCTTCCTTGTGCGGCAATCCTCCTTCAGTTTCCGGTGAGACCACATCACGAATTCCTTCCAACCAACCTTCCCTACGAAATGGAAAATCATAGCGCAATATATCATACTTACAACCATATTTAAGCTAACTAGTCAATAGAAGCTAACCGAAAGCTGGTTGAAAAGGTCTGGCCGTCGCCTTTCGTGGGGATCGACCTTCGAGTCTCTTCATCAAATTGAAAATGAGCTAAACAATTATAAGCCATGAAACCCAAATTTTCTTCACCTTAGGTTTAAGTGAAGTTCATGACATAATGAGGCCTAATCATATTATTTTGGGAAAAATTCTGTCATATACAAAGAAAAGTTGTGTTTCGAGAAATCTATTGTTTTATAATTGTTGTGCTCGCTTCCATTTCGAGTGAAAGTGTTTGGTGAAGAGATTCCAAGATTTATTCCACCAGAAGACGACGGCGGATTCCTCTTAACAAGCGGTTGATTTGCTTTACAGGAACATTCATGCTGACGCTGTTTCCGAGGTAATCTCCTTCGATTCCGATGAAAACGTGCAAAGCTTCCATCCTTCATATGACGAACATCATCATAGCAAGGTATCATCGTCAAAACCAAATTCAAGCAAACGAGTCAAGAAAAGTCACCGGCAAATCTCTAAAAAGTGGTATATATACTCTATATCTGGCCTCTTTAATCAGGTATAAAGTGATTTGGTTAGTTACGGTTATGTTCAATCTCGAAGCCTGTGAGTTTGTCGGTCTCTTTATATATATGTGCATTTACTGTAAGGAGTTAAGTAAAAATTGCTTGTGCTTAATTGATAGACTCAAGGATAGAGAGGGAGTTGAGCTGCCTGCACATTGGAGGCGATGCAACTAATCTTTTCTTAAGAAAGTAGGGTTTCGAGACTACCAGTAAATCATTGTAATGAGATGTATTCACCCTATTT